GGTGACCTTCCGTGGCTTTGCACAGGAGCTCAGGAAGCCCAGAACACGGGCTGGCTTGCCCAGGTGGGAGACTGCTTTAGGATGCTTTTGAGGAGAATGGAATGGAAAAGACCTTCCAAACTGCTGTGTGCTGAAATTCCTACACCAGCCCAAGTCACTGCTTTTGAAGAGTTTTGCTCTTTGTTCCCCCAAACAGAAAACAACGTGAACAGCATGGAGTGCAACCTCAGCTCAAGTTCAAAACTGAAACATTTTTCTACTTACAGTTGCAAAGATCTAGAATCTAGATCTGTCTAGATCAAGACAGAATCCTGAACAGGCCTGAGCTTGCTCAGACAAAATTCCTGCTTTCCGCTTTGCCTACAGACGTACTTTTCGGCTGCAGGAAAGAGAAGAAAGCTGAAGAGGAGACTTTGTTTTCAACTACAGAGTTGGAAAAAGCTGGGAAAATGAAGCTGACTCAAACTGATGGCCTACCATTCCAAACCACAGCAAACCTCCAGGCTCCATACAGGGAGAAGCAGCCCCTTGGTGATAAATTGATTGTTTTCCTGTTAGCTGTGGAATTTCTTAGTGCTGTAAAACTGCTGTCCATGCTGAGGACTCCTCCTGTTATTCTCTTGAACCAAGAGTACAGCAAAAGGCTTCGCTGGGAATTCTGTACATCTCCATTTTAAACAGATGGCTGCTGAACTCTGTAAGTTCAGCGCTATGTGGTCTGATTATCACCACGTGTCTCCTTTAAGCAGAATAAATTAGAAAAAGGAAAAACAAAACCAAAGACAAACCACCAAAAAGACAGCCCAGAATTTGCTTTCTGCAGAAGTGCTTGGATTTTAATCACACACGGATTTCAGTTTTGAAGAATTGCAGGACAGACTTCTTGCACTTCCTGGACTGATAGCAGTGGTTGGAAAGCAAAATAATGCATCTGAGTTGCTGTTTTTTTCAGGTTTAGGGCACGGAGCACCATATCCCTGATGGAGGATGGCTGGGGGACGCCAGGGGGACATGTGGGTGGGACAAACTCTGCTTACCCTTTTAATCAAGCTTTCTGCAGAAGTGCTCTGCATTTGAAATCATTCAAATGATTTGTCTAATGCTGCCCTATCAAGATGGATTTCAGAAAGGAGAAAGTGCAAACTCCCAGAGCTGGTGGAAAATGCAAATAAAAACAGCATTGTTCTGGTGTGGATGGCTGTCACTCAGCCTCTAATCAAACATAGGCTGCCTAAAACATAGAAGGCAGGGAAATGAAACTTTAAATGGCGTTTTCATCCATATTGGAATGGCTCAATTTGTGCTTTTTTTTTTGATGTGTGTGTGTGAAATAACTGCATTTTATACAGAAATGCTAATACTGCTACAAATAATTAATGTTATCTGAAATTATCATATTCTAGGAGAGGGTGATTAGATTCAAAACAGCAGAGACAATTCTAATCTCAGCGATAAGAGATGATATAAAACCAATGCCTATGTTCTTAGATAACCTTTGGTCTCAGCCTTTTGGTGAACATCAGTGCTCCTGAGGCTAGTGCATGTTTATTTCTTAAGCTGAAATGTAACATTTTGCCCATATGTTGATATTAAAACAAAAAATTCACTTCTGAACTCTTTAATCTTTTTATTCATGTGTTCTGTTGCTCTCAGGCAGGGATTGTGAGTACCAGACGCTGCCTTATGTAAAATAATTGACTATATTTTCTCTCCTCTGAACTAATTCACCACATTTTCTCCCTATCTATCATCTAAATGAATGTACAGTGTTTTCTATCCATCACCCTGCTAAGGTACTCATCACTGGGGGATGCAGCCAGTAGATAAAAAGTATAATGATGCTATATTAAATAAAGAAAATCGATGTTCCACTCACATTCAAACTGAGTCAAATTGTGACAAGTGGATTGCCACGAGGAGAATTTGGCCCTCTGTCTCAAGCAGAGGGCTCTTCTGAAGCAGTTCTTGCAGCCCATGCTATTTATAGGCCCTGCCTTGCTATGCTGGGAAAGCTTCTCCCATCCTCCCTCTGCCCCAGCCCTCCTCACTGGTGCCCAGAACTTCTTGTCCTGGTCAGTGTGGACACAGAGAAGCAGGTGCCCAAGATGACTCAAGAAACTGGAGCATTCAAACAGCAGAAAATGTGACAAGACTGCGTAAATTGAAGAGGTTTTGTGAATGTCTGCCTGATTCACACAGGTAAGAAAAGCAAGCCAGGGTCCTTGGCTGCAGTATTTCTGGTATATAAGGGTCCTCAGCATGAATTTTGATGCCATGGCCATACCAATTTACACTGCAGGACTCTGCTCTGGGATCCAACAGGCAGTGAAAGCAACCCCTGGTTGATCTGCAGACAATTCAACATGAGACTGTCCCTTGTGAACAAAAAAAGGGAGGCCAATTTTTAAAGCAAGTCTGGCCTGGGCAGCTCAGGCCAATGCCCCTCTAATGTACCATATAAACTTTAATGTACTACCAGTCCACTTCAGCTATGCTTTTTTATTTCTTTTTCTTTCCCTCATTGCAAAATGCTGAATTACAGTTAAATGCTAGACGGTATATCCTGACTGTGTGGCTCATTGCTTGCCTTTGTGCATGGTTGGTTATTTGTTAGTACTGAGTGCTTCAAAGCCGACCAGTCTGTCCATCCTCCCAGGGAAGCAGCTCAGCTCTCTTTGCCCACCCGATTACATTAGCTGAGAGGGAGGAAACGTCTTCTGGCACTTCACAACAGAGATACAAAAGTGACGGAACTGCTTTTGATGCAGAGGCACCACATCTCCTTGCCAGCCTGCACATCCAGGTTTTCTCTCCATGGAAATTGGGACAGAGCTGGGAGGGGATCCACAACTCCCCCATGGAGCAAGGCACTGACTCAGCTGGTGCATGCAGTTGGCCTGGGTGCTGTGATCAGAGAGCTCATCCCCAAGACAAAGGATGCACTCGCAGGCAGCACAGTGCCTCTGCTACCTCCCAAAAGCCTCCAAATGAAGGCTCTGCAACCCAAAAGCTGCTTACCCCACAGCTAGAAAATCACTCTTTTTTTGCCTCCGCAGCAATTTCCCTTGAGTTCTTTTATCTGTCTAGGCAGAGCAGCACACACAGCTTTGCAGCAACTCAGGTTTTGGTTCCACATCTCCCAGCAAATTATGATTATGCCATGTGAACAGTCTGTAGCTTATTTGCAGTAGACCTCTTTATACCTGGCAACCTAAAGGTTTGGGATGTACACTCCACTGTTAGCGAGATTTCCCTACATTAGACATGAGAACAAAGCTCCTTCTTCCAAGAAAATATACTTCAAGTACTTCTTTGCTGTGGAGAAGAAATGGTCCTCTCTGCTACCAGGCATGTGAGAGGAAACCTTTCCCTTCTCCAAGCACAAGATCTGTTCTCCATTTATGCTAATTTAAAAAATTAAAATCAAACAGAAGACAGGGAAAAGAAACAGCAGCAATGAAAAAACCCATAGGCACCTGACATAAACAGGAGCATTTGATATGGGAAGGGGAACTAGTTTCTGTAAAAAGGATTCCAGCCAAGAGAAATCTTAATCTATTGCATGTCAAAAGATTTGAGCTGGAAAACATTTGTGTTCTTTTCTTCCAGTATGTTTTGTCATCGTGTACTCTGGAAACATCTTGGATGGCTGTTAATAATTTATGTGGTACAGTGGCATACTAAATCACTTGGCTGTTGGAAGAGCTTTGAAACACAGGGTCCCTGGGTCTGCCCTGGATAATGAAGGGAACTCCTGAATCTGCCAGGTGCCAATAGGTTTTGCTTTTATTTCTTGCAGCAATGTGATTTACAGCCTGTTAAGACAAGATGCATCTGTTAACACTTGAAAGCAGACTTGGACTGACAAAAACAAAGCAAAACAAAACAAAAAACAGCCTGATGACAAAACTCTCCAAAATCTGTTCCTTGGAAGCAATGTCCAGTTGGGGATAACACCCATAAAGCTGCTCATTGAAGTAACACTTGCATTGGTTCAGGAAGAATTTACAAATTTTTCGTGCAGTGTTTCCCTCTTGGAGAAGACTATAATTTATTAGTCACATTTAGGACCAGCGACTCAGCCCAGCCTGCTGCTATGTTTGCAACCTCAGACACATCCCATCATGGCCCTAAAGGACCTTTCTGCAAAACTGCCTGGGTGATACTGACTGGGCTGTGATAAGATGCCACTAATAAGGGCTCTTTGGAACCGCCCAAGAGAAAATGCTATTTAATAACAAATCTTTGCTGCTTATTTTCAAAAATGTATTTTCCATACCAAGAACTTTCAGTATCTCAGCAGGGCTTCTCCTGTAGACTTACTGTACTTTAAAAATGCAACATTTGCATAGATCACCATGCTGAGAAGGCTACCAGCAGAGGAAAGATGCAGGCTGAGGGCAACTTAAGGAAAGGAACAGATGGGACAGTTAGAGGAAAGACGCTTGAAAAAAAGAGAGAGAAACAGAAGTAAGTCCAAAGGGAAAGCAAAGGGCACAGTGACTTCAACAGTGCAAAGAGCTCATCCAGTGGTGCTGTTCAATTAAAGGGCCAGTTATGTCACAATGTTTGCAAAAGGGAAGAGGCAGGATTTCTCGTCTCTGCTGGGATTCAGCCTCCCTTTTTCAACATTGCCCCTGTGGAAGGGAAGTTTTGCTGGGGCCGTGCTGCCAGCCGCGGCACAGTGCATCTTTCGAATGCAAGTGCTCTGTCAGCAGCAACCTCTTGATCTCTCTAAGGAGTGCAAAGCCCTGTAGGACCATTGACTTTCTGTGGGTTTAGAGCGAACTGATCTAAACCAAAGGATTTTAAGCAGCAGTTTGGGTGGCACCTCCCAGCAGCCGGGGCGCACACCTGGACACCGCTCCCCTCAGCACCTAAGGAGCCCCTTAGCCTGCATGTTACCGAGCGGGCGGCAGAGCACGTGGCTTCTTCTTCCTATTTTCTACTTAAAAAGGACTTTGAAGAGAGACTGCCGCAGCGCAAGGACGACAGTGCCCTCTGTTGTCCCCGTGCTTGCAGCACCCACCGCTGCGCTCCAGGCCTCGCCTTCCAGCCCAGCACTGGCAACCCCCAAAAAATAACCACAAAGCCCAGCCTACGCTGTCGGTGTCCCCCAGGGGCCAACAAAGGGGTCGCGGCCCCAGCCGGCTGCCGCAAGCACACGCAGCGGCCGGGGGGGCGACATTCGGGACGAACCCTGTCAGGATCCTCCCCGTTCCCAGAGAATGAAAGGCAAGTGCGATTGCGGGGGAGAAAGGGAAGACACTGATCACAAGGAAGAGGCAAAACGCAGTAAGAATTATCTCTTTATTCCTTTATTCCCACCCGCGCACTCGCACGGGGGAGTCACAACGGTTACAAGCGCGAGGGAAACCCGCCCGGAGCCGCCATGACAGAAACCGCCATGACACCAGCCACGGCGCCGCCATGACACCGCCAACCCGCCACAGCCCGCGCTCCCTCCCCATTGGCTCTCCCCGTTGCCACGGCAACAGCGACCCCACCTCGGGGCGCGCCGGCGCTCTGATTGGTGGCTGCCGTTGCCGCTTTCCCTGCTCCTCAGGGAAGGTTGCGGCTGCTGATTGGCTGCTGCCGTTGCCTAGGCGACGGCAGGACGCGGCGAGGCCTAGCGCAGCCATGGCGGGGCCCGAGGCGCCCGCCCGGCCCCTGCTGACCGCCGAGCCCCCGCCGCCGCCGGTGCCCATCTCCGCGCTGCCCCCCAAGGTGTACGAGGCGGCGCTGAAAACCGGGCCCGACTCCTCCAGCGGCCTGGCCACGGCCGGCTTCCGCAGCGCCAAGTACCTGCCCCCCGAGTGGCACCAGAGCAACTACTGCCAGTACCACCGGGCCTTCGCCAGCTGCCAGGAGGCCGAGCGCAACCGGGATGAGGCCAAGGAGCTGTGCGAGCGCACCGCTGCCGCTGCTCAGCGTGCCCAGCAGGATTCCACAGCCGCCCTGGGCCAGCGGCTGCAGGACATTCACTTCTGGAAGGGCGAGCTCCAGAAGGAGATCGAGGACCTGGATGCGGAGACCGGGCTGTTGGCAGCCCAGAAGCTGCGGCTGGAAAGGGCGCTCGACGCCACCGAGGTGCCCTACAGCATCGCCACCGATAATCTGCAGTGTCGGGAGCGCAGGCAGCCCCCGGACCTGGTCTGTGATGAGGTGGAGAGGGAGCTGCTGAAGGTGAGAGGGGCGGTAGGATGGGCAGGGCTGTTGGCAGCCCTCGCAGAGTGCTGCACCCGTCTCCAAAATGCTGAGCTGCTTGGTCAGCAGGTGATAACTGCAGTGTGAAGGTACCTTCTGGCAGGATGCAGAGGTTTGTTTGCCCTTCCTGGCAGCCTGGACTCTGTCTGTCGATCCTAAATGCAGGAGGGATTATTTAAAATCCTTCCTTTGTTTAAAAAATGTTTAAAATCACATGAGTACAATCAGAGGAGACCAGATCCTCTCTCTCAGACCAGATCCGTACGAAATCAAAGCAGAGGTTTCCTGTACCAAGCTGAGCATCACACTCTGGCATTAAACACTTTCCAGACTCTGCTTGGATTAAAGTCCCCTCATTTCTGCAGGTTACACTTTAAAAATGCAGTACCCCATGAGCAGACTGTGTAGAGGGACTGAACCTACAGTTAACAACTATTCAGGACATGTGAAACGTTGCCTGTTTCCATGTTCAAGAGAGCAGTCTCTGCCTTTTACTACCAGTTCTGATGCTGTAGTCTTGCCAAGGTTCTCAACAAGGTAATCTAACACGGCACTGTTGTGTCTCAGCCCAAGCCATCATTTTAATTGTATGGCAGGACAGCAGCATGGCTCTCTCCAATCAGTGCAATGTAGCCGTGTGACACCTGCGGGAGATGACAGCTCCAGACACACGGGGGGCCCAGACAGATGGTATTTCTGACAGTGTGACTTCAACAAACCTGATGCTCTCCTGAAATCTGCTCGATCATTTTCCTCCCAAAGAGGACTCTACTCTAGCTGACACTTTGTTATCTGTCACTGCGATCCAGCACAGCATGTAGATTGCCTTCAAAGCTGATGTAATTATTGTGGTTGCATTATGATACAGAGAACAGATTCTGGGTCATCTTTCATTCTTGAATGATGCATATCCTACTGTCCCACAGATAAATTAATGAACATTGGCCTGCAGCTTCCAATATAATGGAAAGTTGATTCATGATGAGTTACTGATTAACCCAGATGATTAATATTTGTTGTTAGCAAAATACTTAAGAGAATTACAGAGTTGATGGAGTGCTAGTATTTAGCAATATTTTTAATAGGAGTAGTGCTCAATTGTAATCATTACCTAAGAAGCTGCTCTAGTGAAAAATGCAAAAATGGGAGGATTAGTGTATAGAGTATTTCAGTGGTGTGCCAGACTGATTTTTGAATTGTTATAAAATACACAGTACAGAAACTATCTTCATCAGCTGCTGCTGTTTTAGAGAGAGATGTGAAATACAAGATCTACCCCTCAAAAAAAATCAATTTTCTGGCATTTCTCTCCTCCTGATCTCTGTTCCAAAGGATAGTTTGTTCATTGCTAAGAAGTCCGTCTGCTGCTGCTAATTCTTCACCTGAAATTGTGATTCTTTGCGTGTGACGACAGACCATCAACAGCCAAGTGGGATGTCATCAAAAAAGAATGATGTGAGTTCAGCTGAGGCGTGTATACCAGCAGCAGATGGACTCCTGAGAAATGAAGATTTTGTTGCCATGCCAATGACCTTTGCAGTACAGAAGGAAGAGGAGTATATAATATGAGAGGAAACCCTTCCCATTTTCACAGAGGGATAGATTTTATGGCATGAATGTTTGCAAATAGATACTTATAATGTGCCCTCTGTGGCTCTGCCGGCTTTTTAAGCTGCAGCTATACTCTGTACCTCTTTTGCTGCAAGAAATCAAACAGAACCTTGTATTTCTTACTCTCTCCAAAAGTGAGTAATAATTCTTCACACTTAGAGTTGCTCTTCCATGAATTCTGACTGTTCATTGCACAGATTTCAGAGTTAATGGCCCAGTTCCCTGATGGCTGTGTGTTCATTTGCTTACTTGGAGGAGCTATGCACATTTTATTACTAAAGTACTGACATACTTTTTATGAATGTTGCATACTTGTCCAGTCACTTTCTAATCTCAACTCTCCTAAGAAATGGTAACGCAAGGGAGATCAGGAGTAATTTATTCTCTTCAAAAATCTTCATCTCTTCTGCAAAAACTGAGAAATAGAAGAAATATTTTTCCAAAAGTCAGCGGTGTGAGGAAAGGGACATTCTTTTCTTTGCACAAGTAGTTTTAACTGTATATGCATAGAACTGCATAGCTAATTTATGTTCTGGGAATAAGGGATTAAGGTATTTAAGTGAAAGCTCCTCACACGCATAGTAAAATCAGCTGTTACACAGAACTTCATAGGCTCCACTTAGCAGCATATTAATCTTTTCTTAATGCAGTTGTTAAAAAAAAAAAGCTGAAGAACACAATTATTTTCCCTATGAAAATGATCTTTGATGACTAAAAAGATAAAGTCTCTTAAATAGAATCATTTTATTTGTTTGGGCTGCTGCACTGTAAACACCTAAATTCAGAAAAAGCAGTGCATGCATCTATCTTCTATGAGTTTTCTTGTTACTTTCATAGCACATATGAAATCTCCTCTGAATCCACCTTGTATCTGTTTAATGACAGTTTAGTATGTTTATGTGCTAGCATTTAATACTGAAGATGTAATCACTAGTACAGGACTTGCCACATAGCAGTATACTGTCAGTTAATCACGTTTCACCTGCGTATATTCTGCATTTCAAGGTTATTTCTGCATATCCAGTATCCAGATTCATTAACTGAGTGCCAGATCGACTGTGTTCTAAGCAGATGTATTTACATTTAAGTCATTTTTTTTTACCCAAGAACTGTATTTGACTCAGAGTGTTGACTTGTTGTGCATTTGCTTCAACAATGATGTCAGCCCCAGTATTCCCTGATGCTGGAGACAAAGGCATTAGCCAAGATCCTGTCACCAGTATAAAATTAAAAAAGTAGAGAGGGGATACAGTTGTGTGTATTCCTGCCAAATGCAATAATGGGGAGAGGAATCCAGCAGAAAACCCTTTCCAAACACTGATCTGTAGCTTCGCCAAGTGAACCAGTGCACAATAGGACAGTCCTGTACACAGACAACTCTGTTAAAAGCATAGCACCTAGTTCAACATCTTCAGACCATGGGTTTTGAAATGACTTGAGGAGAGCAGATATTTATGCAGTATTGATCTATGGCCCTTCTCCCGCTGCGATCCCATGAGCGAGCCACAGCTCCGCTTTGTCAGCGGCTGGATCGCGCTGCGATGTCTGACAGTGTGGTCAGGACTGTGTGACCTAGATCAGAGGATCTTCATCTTCAGCATGGTGCCACAGCTCCTCCCAGGCACGCACTCTGACTTCTGAACTGTTTTAAAAGCTAGGAGAAATCATTTATTAGATAATTATTGAAAATTCATTGCCATATACATCTGCTTATTCACTCTAAGTAGCCTTAGATTGCCATTAATTAGGAGAACTCTATCTTCAGTTTTAAATGTTGTATTTGAATGCCTATCTCCTCAAAAGGGAAACTAGTTTTTAATTTTATTTTAGGTCATTCAACAAGGGAGTCCTTCATTTTTGCACTAGTTCACTTTTTCCACGTGTGACACTTTAATTGCTAAAGGAAGGCTTTTCTCATTTAAGATTGTGCACATTACTCACATGAAAATGATTGCCTCTCTTTTTACATGGAGACTGACTACCCAGCACAAAATAATAACAATTACTATAAAAGTAATTTCAAGTACCGTCTCTTTTTAACACTAAAATTATTTTAATTTTTTGACAACTGAGCCGTTGCAGTATTTCCTTTTTGCAGAAAGTGAATCCTAGTGTTTTCACAGTTTGTAAAATGATACCTTCAGCTATGTATTTATTTTAATTGTGCTCATTTGAAGCCTTAAAAATAATATTTTCTTTCCAGTCAAGATTGTCCTTTTCCATTTAGAATAAAATGATCTTTTTTACACTCCCTGATGGTTTCTTATAATGGAGAAACTGACACCGCAGGGATGTATGCGCTCATTTATTTGTCAAGAACAGTTCAAGGATCAGTGAGTGCCAGCAACGTTCTGAGTATGAAGTCTATTAGTAAGAATATACTCCCTTAGTTGTCATTGGATGACTGTCATTGATGCACAACAGCAAAATTAATTAGAAGCTCTGCGTTTACAAAAGCTCTTTTCAAAATCTGAGCCTCAAATATTAAATTCCTTTAAATAATAAAAAAGAAAATGCATGTTGGGTAGGCCTTTATATAACAGCTTATACATAGAGCGTGAATAGTTAATCCCTAAAGCAACTTTATTACAGACAAAAATGAACACCAGGTACTTTTTGTTCAGTAAGAGTCTTTTGGAAAGTATGGTCATTTTTGTTTTGATCATGTTTGTGCTGAAATGGATGTTCCTGCTAAAAACAGATGGAACTGAAACTTCAGACACTGGATCTGTTATCAAGGTGAGGCAAAGCTTTGTGACTGTGAGCAGTCGCATCTTGCAGCCAAGAGGAAATTAACCTCTCAGACAACACTGCATATCTGAGATAATTCTGAAGTCCTTGGTACTAACCATCACCAGAGGCAAAATAAGTTCTGGAACAAATGGGTCTGATAAAAGTAAAGCTACAAGTGTCGTCAGGTTTATCTTGGGATGGCTGTCCTATACCTGCTGAAGCAGACAGTGACTGTTTAAATCGTAGAGCAGTAACTGCTATTTTTAGTTAATATAGAGCATTCAAAGGAAGCAGGCCAACCAGAAGTGTGATACTCCTTTATGTTAAGTAGCTCCTTATCACCATACTTCAGACAAACTTTATTTTTGGAGATCTGCAGGAATCTGCTGGCAGCCTTTGCCTTGCATGCAGTTAAAACACTTGTTACAGAGCAAGGCAGCATGCTCTGAAGGTGTCTGCAAGGACTCAGCAGATTCTGACTGCCAGTGTCTTGCCAGAGAAGCTGATCTGCTGCATCACATCCCGGTGCAAGGCAGCAGCCCCTGACATCTGCATTTGTGCTTGCAGAGGAGAAAGAATCCTGCCCAGCTTTGTGCAAGGCAGCGACTCCGGTCTCCTGCTGAGGACGGTGCTGTTGCCTTGTTTTTTCTCTACTTCAAAGCTGTGCAAGTAATTCAGGTATTCTGTTTAATCTGGCAGAACACACTCTTTTTCATAGGATACACATGCAATATGAAAGTAATGAATCCCCAAGCTTTAGAAGTATTTATGTATTGCTGCCTTCATAGACTTATAGCTGAGTTACCTCAGTCTTTGCTAACTCCAGAGAAGATCTTGTCTTGTAATAATAAGGTAAGAGTGGGTAATAAGTGGAAGATTTGAGTGTATATCCACAGCGATTGAAATCAAATTGCTCTGCAGGATGGGATGTACTGCACCGAATATCATAGAAGTCTCAATGTTTTTATCTAGGAAGCTGAACTTATAAGAAATATCCAGGAGCTTTTGAAAAGAACTTTGATGCAAGCTAGTAACCAGATGCGGTAAGGTGTTTTTCTCAATACCTCAGTGGTTAATTTATATATAGGCAAATAATTCCTGGCACACTGGGGTACAACACCCAGTGGATAAAGTTCATACCAATGCATTTATGAGCTGAGTGAATTCCATTTAAGCCTGTAAAGATGTACTCACTGATGAGACTTTAGGATTAGCAAGTAAGGTAAGGCAAGGTGGGAGCCATGCCCTTTCATAATTTCCAGTATATTGCTTTATATTTTCAGTCCTAATTTCTAGTGTGTGTATTCAGTTGTCCAATTTTCCAACACTAAACCAGAATTTAATAAAATATTATCTGGATATTACTCTCTCTTTTTGCACCTTGTGATATATTGAAACTGTAAATCTTTTACAATAATTTGTCTGATCAAAGGACCTTTTTGAGATGAGTTTTTTGCCGCCAGATGTCACTATGAACTTACAATGTGGAATTTAACTCAACCTTCCATATCAGTTCATTGCACTTCAAAGGGAATATTTGCTTTTAATTTATACCAAACCCTTTCAAAAGAAGATGTTAGCCAAATCCTCAGGTGCATCAATATGATGGAGTTAACGCTGGAAACGGTGGTATTTTACATTAAATTTATTTTTTCATCTGGTTCAATTTTCGCTATTCTACCAGATAAAATGAAATTTTATTTTTAAAAATAATGTTTTTAAAGGTAGAATAATTTACAGTAGTTCTATTATATCAGTTATGGTATCAAAGTAATCTGCTGAGTTTAGGCTTCTTTTTTATAAATGTTTTAAGATCATTTTAGGATCAGCAGCATCACTGGGCAACAGAATCTTTTTAATTCCTTAGGTAAGAGTGACATCTGGTGTTAACAGTTGATAAAGACTCACTGTCTTTTGTAATCTGAAGTCATTCTAATTAACTGGGTGATGTTTGACTCATTTAAATGACGACAAAGCAGCAGTTTCAACTCTTAACAAAAAGGAAAGTTTGCCTTCTCAATTTTCTGTGACAAAGACTCAGAGCCTATCTTAAACATCTATAGTTATGTTGAATTGTATTGTTTTTTATTAATCATGTGTGATAATAATGATGGCCTTTTCAGATTAAATCGAGACCACAAAGAGATTTGTGAGATGGACTGGTCAGACAAAGTTGAAACGTACAACATTGATGATAAATGTGGAAGATACAATAACCAGAGCACCAACATCCAGTTCCATCCTAGCTCAGTGAAGTTTGAAGAGAGGTGAGCAGTTCTCATCATTATCCTCCACAACAACCCTGGTAAGATATGATACATCCTTTGCATCAGTGAAAGCTGTAATGCTGCTCTGAATTAAAGGTGTTATTGCTGCTTTGCACATGTGATGTCATTGCTTTAAAACAGCTACAGTGGTAGTGCTACCATTTCAGCATGCCACACCACTTATGACAAAGTAGATCCCTTATATGCAGACTGGTTTTGTTGAAGTTTTTCTTCGAAACAGTTGGCTTTACCCTATTCTATTTTTCTTCTTCCAGTGCATCAACACCAGAGACATGGGCCAAGTTCAGTCACGACAACATCTATAAGGCAGAACGAGAAAAACAAGCTTCAATTAATCTTCGTGCTTTAATTGATAATATTCTTCATGATGTATCTGAGGACCTGAGGATGCAGTGTGCTGCTGTTAATGAGGCTTTTGCCAAACATCTTGAGGAGCTAGATGATACAAAACATAAACTAGAGCATCATTTGAAAAAAGTAAGTGTTATTTTTGAAATGCTGGTTACAGGCATGATAGCATCGTTTGAGAAGATCACGGTAAAATTATCCTCTAGAAAAAAAAATCTAAAACACTATTTTGTGTCAGTTTAGTATCTGATAAGAGTCTTCAGTGCTGGATTATGGCTCCAATTCAGCTTGTTCTGCTGTCTGCTGTGCTGCTTCCGTAGCAGCAGCAGTTCCTGGCAAATTATAAGAGGTGTCTTCAGACTCTGCTCCTTCTCCAGTGTTGAAAAGCTCCTATTTCTGTGTTAGGCTATTGGGAGGTATGGAAAAAACAAGTCATTCCTTAGCACCTGTGCAGTAATGACAGCTGGGCAGACTCTATTTTCTTCATGTGTGTCAGTGGTTATGAAAGAGAAGGAATTCAGAATTTCCTGTCTTTTTCTTCACTAATGCTAGAAAACCATACAATTCCAAGCTGACCAGCAGTTCGTAATCCTATTCAAAATAACTTGAGCTTTTCTTGGATAATTTACAGTTAAAGATTTACAATTAAAAGCAATTCATGGAAGTGGGATGTGTTGTGAGGAGATGTGAAGAGTTTTTGAACAGGTTACAGCATATTTTCCGCTGCTTTTCAACATAGAGATCAGATTCTCAGTGTAGGAGTAGAAATAAAGATGTCAAAAACACTTTTGCGCTTCTATTTCTTTTATATTCTGGCCAAATAGGAGGTCAAAACTGTAAGTGACTCATTGGGACCATGATGAAATGTATAGCATGCACAGAGACAACGATTTTTTCTGAACAGTTCTTTTTCTTGGGTATCCTTTTCAGACCCTCAAGGAGATTGGAGATCAAGAAGCTAACATTGCTGCTCTCAAGCAAGCTATCAAAGACAAAGAAGCCCCAATGAAAGTTGCCCAAACGAGGCTGTATGATAGATCTTTTAGGCCCAATGTTGAGCTCTGCAGAGATGCAGCACAATTCAGGTAAACACTATTAAACAAGTCCTCCAAGATGTCCATTCTATCCAGAGGTGATGTTAGATAGCGTTTGCACTTTTTAGTGGCAGCACAGGGCCTTTAGCTTTTATCGTGAGGTTTGATCTGATATATAAGAAATAATTCAATTTACTAAAATCACTGCAAAGAAAGCATTATTTAACCTAATGTATTGACAAACAGAAAATGTATAGACACCACTCTGATGATTGCTTCTATGCTTTTTTCTCTGAACTGCATAGTTTCTTTTTGATTTAAATGATCCAAAAAATCTGGCTACGTGTGGATAATTTGCCATTCTTTAGCTGTTAGCAAAAGTTCACCACAAGGTGGACCATGTGCTGAAAGAATTATGTTTGAAGTATTGAGAATGTAAATGGGCTGCGCATATCCACAGTCTGAGACATGTCCTTAGTACTCCAAAGAATTGGGCTGGTGGCATTTGATTTTCAGTAATAATCCGTTTTAAAACTAGAGGTCAATAAATCCTTTCAAATTAAAGGTCTGAACGTCACATTTGTCACTTTTGATCTCATTATAAGCCTTGTAATTGATTCTCATCCTTCACATTTTCCTGCCCTTAGGAAAAGTGGGGGATCAGCTTTTGCAGGCTTACAATTTACTTGTAGCAAAGATGTCTACCATTCAAAGCCAATATGCTGTTCTTTACACAACAAGGAAGAAGTTATAGTTAATCCAAATGCTTTATGCCACTGCAGTCACACTCATTTAGGTCCTGATTCAGCAAATCATTCTTGTGCAAGCTTTACAGTATGTATGTTTTCTTTAATGGGATCTAAGGACATATTCAAGTCCTTTGCTGAATGGGCATGTGTTTAATTGCCATGCTTATTCTGTTTGTATTTACTCAGTTCCCATAGCATACAGGATTTTTGTTTTCCCAGGAAGTAAATATGTGCAGACAGAGATTACAGTAAAGCACCTAACCTACACTGACTTCCAGCTGAAGTGATGTGCTTTTTAAAAATTGTATTTCTTTTTTTTTTTTTTTTTTCTGATGCCTGGTACAAATATCATCTTTAATACTTGAGTTTTATACCAGTGGATAGATATCAAAAACCAGGCTTAAAGAAATGCAGATACAGTCAAACTGGGTAACTCACTGAACAATTTCTGTTTTAAAATTATTAGTACAAGTGTCCTGCACAGTGGGAGAAGGTAAAGATGAATAGTTCCACTGTTCTTAGTGGCAAAAGGCATGCTTAATGCTATCTAAATCATGGGAGATTTCAGTAAAAAACTGTGAAAGTGAACTGGTTTTCGCTAGGTATGTAGGATCTCAGAGAGGTCCTACAGGTCTAAGTCCTGTATCCCAAAGTCTCAGGTACCCTTTGATGCATTAGGATCAATCCCTGAAGTCTTTGTTAATGAGTGTTATGCTTCTGCAGCTGTTGATCTTTATTCCTGTTACAGTTCATATGTCCTTGGGAACACAGACTAGATTCTGCTCATTTTTATATTACTTATGTAACTCTGTTCAGGTTGATCAATGAAGTTGAAGAACTAACGGAGTCCATTGAATCTCTGAAGAAAAAACTGCTAGAAGCTGAACAGTCTCTGAGGAACCTGGAAGACACACGGATGAATTTAGAAAAAGAAATAGCTGTGAAAACAAATAGTATTTTTATTGATAGGCAAAAGTGCCTGGCTCATCGCACACGCTACCCTTCTACTCTTAAATTAGCAGGTTACCAGTAGTAATCTCTGTACTAACTATGCAAAGTCTGGAAGAAAAGTATAATTTAGAGTCTTTCATAGGAAACACACGGGTAATATTATACACAGAAGTACTGTTATTTTCCTTATTTGTATTAAAATGCACTAGTATAACATGTCTGGCTTTGAGTCCTGCCTTTAAAAAATTGGTCTGAGTGCAAATCTGTATAATCAGTTTAAAATACAGTTTAAAGGCAATTCACTGTATCTAGAAATTATCTATACCCTATTTGTATAACTTGCACAGTATGTACTATTTGGGGTTTTCACCCTAATAAATGAATATGTTGGGTGAGTATTTAATAATGTACACAGGTGTAGACATACAAAGTTTATAGCTTTCTAGCATTTTCAGGCAGACTGAAATGAGAGCAATAAAACTGCTTGCCTGACAGAAGATCACATGAGCAGCAAGGAAATAGAGGATAGACTTTTAAGCTGTTCAAACATTATTAGTAAAAAAAAGTTTGCACAGGTTAGATGACAATATGACTATTGGCAAAAACACTCCCAGTCTGTGACACCTGCTTATCTAATCTGAAAATGAGTTCAAGGATTTTTAACTTTCAAGTCCATTCAATCTGGCTTTTTTTTTCAGGAAAAAAAAAAAAAAGAAAGAACTAAACAGCTTGTGAATAGCAATCGTGCCTTTCAACTTAACCACTTGGATGTTGAATTGAGCTCTTGATCTGTTCCGCCTTTTCCCTGGAAGCAAGGCATGTGTTTGAACTATTATCCATAATGGAGAACGCATCAGATTCATCTACTCTAGTAGAGCAATGTAACAAATGTCATTCATCCATTAGCTTAGTAGGCCACTTGGTTGAAAATGTGACATGTGTCAAAAAAGGGAAATGATGACACAGAACAGAATTCCATTATGGTTTCCTGTATTACAGGTTTTTACTTTTAAAAAGCAGCTGACCAAAGAGAAAAAAAAAAACCTTCCCTTCCCCCCCCAGCACACACATAAACCTAGCCAATGTACATCTCTGATTAGCCCTGCTCTGTTAACCAGAGCAGGAGAGGCCATTAGCCTATCTGTTTTGCTCACAGACAGCTATTTGTATTATCTTAACTCAGGATGTGCAGAGCAGTATTCAGCAATTGCCCTCCTGCTAAAAGCTACTACCATTTATTTCTTTGAAAACCAGCTGCATCAGTGAGGGTGTTTGACCCAAGCCTCTATTTTGCAGGTTTTGTGTTCCAAGAGTTTTGTTTTGCATTTTTAAATAATTTCCTCTTTGTGATTATATTTTCATAGTCCAGATGCTGAATCCTTATTAGACAGAAGTGGTATGTGGATTAAAAAGAAGTCAAAAGTTGCTCTGCTATGCATTTCTGGGTTATTCACAGAAACCTTTCAGAAAGTACAGAAAGGAGCAACATTTTCAAATTGACCTTTCTCACCCACTAAAGAAAAACCAAACTTGCTAGAGTTCCTTTCTTCCCACTAAGATTCTGACTCCTGACGCCTCAGCTTTCCTCCTTTCCCCCAACACACCCTTTCTCCCCAACTCCTTCCATCTCCAAGTCAGTACAATTTATCTGATGGTTTGCTTTCAGCTGGCAGCACTGGAGCAGAGGTAATCTGAGGTGTAGGCCAAATGGCAGAATGGTCAATCTCCATTTCCCTTATTTATGATGACCAGATTATCTCAAAAATCTCAATCTTGGAGAAAAATACTGTAGGTGGGAACCATTTCCATTTCTTCAGTCCAACATCTATTACAGCAGAAGAAAAGTGATCTAAATCTCAGGTAGTAGAAAACTGAAACAGTTGGGGTCAGAGTGGAATTTGGGTTACAGTTATGGCAGATGGGACCATGGGACTATGCAAGGCCTCAGAACTATTATTTTGATTCAAGAGTTTTGCATTAGAGAGAAGAAAAGAAGAGTGCTGTCATCTTCTCTGAGACTGTGTTGAGTACAAATAACCTTTTGCCCCATATAGGTTTGTAAATGGATCTTTCCCTAATTAAAGCCTATCAGTTTAATTTACCTTTGTGAACTAAATTACTCTGCCCTTGCTTTAGGCCAATCAAGGAAAATTTTGCTCTGGTAAACCTAATACATTGGCAGGGTGTAATCATTGCCCTATTCACATGGTAATAGATGAATACAAGCAAGTTGTAAGGTTTTGAATCAGATGCAGGAGCTTCAAGTTTCTGTAATTATTTTTTATTTAATTGCTGATTTTTAAAAACTCATAACTGAAGCCACCACTGTAGCATGTAAACAAGTTTATATATATATATATATATTTTTTTTTTTCACAATGCATTTTAAGCAGAGGATTTACCAGGAAGGATTAAAAAGATATTTTAGCTGGTTCTCACATGAGTTAGTGTCATGGGTGAGCTATAGCTTCCCCATGTATGAAAAGTATGAACATTTTGAACTTCATTAGGATTATATATATATTTTTTATATATTGTTATTGTTTGTTATCCTGAAAGATTTCTGGTCATGAAGATGAGGTCTAGTTTCTGGAAAGTCTTGGAGTTTCTGCTTACAGATGGAGGAAGAAATTGCTGGTGTGATAAATGATACCTCCACAATGCTTGGTACAGGACCCTTAGAAAACAAAAACAAAAACAAAAACCAAGAGTGAAGACCCACTAAACATGTATTTGTTACTTACAAAGAGATGACTCTGCGAGGAGAGGAAAGGTTACAAACAGGAGATAATACTTGCATAGTATTTTTTATCACTGATAGTTGATTTTCTCTAAGACTGAAGCTTAGAACAACTGTCTCATAATTTCAGCCTCGTACCATTTCACAGGTCACTAAAAATTTAATACCAAAGAGGCAGACACCAGCACTGAGATGTTCAGGTAGGATTCTTCAGAAGTATCTTTCTCCTCTTTGGGCCCCTGACACTTGACACAAACAGAGCCTACTTAAAATACTGGGTTTTAAGAGTCTGTGTAGTAAAAAGCCACAAGGACAGCCAGTAACACCAGACGTGTCCTAAAGAAATGATCTGAACACAACAAGTTTTCTTCTATTGTCCTCCAAGATTCTGTTTGAGGCAATTTGCGGTGTAATTGCAAAGATAACCTGCAGGGAAGAGGAAATTATTTTAAAATCTGTTCCTGAGCACTTTTTTCCAGTAATTTCTAAGTAGTCTCTTAGATCTGCTGGCCACTCTAAGCAAATTGCATCCCAACATCAGTCTTGGCAGTAATAAAAGTCACGGTAACGACTTTATGGCCATGCACGGCGCTCATTAGTGCCCTGTGCTGTGCATGGGATGTAGCTGGTAGCCAGGCCGCACTCTGGCTCCACGGGCTCCTTGCTACCTGCCGTGACAGTCTGCGATGCTCTTCTCAGCTGCTGAGCTCTCATGAGGAGGACAAGCAGGACGTGGTGGGCCCTGCGCACGGCGGGCTGGGCAGTGGTCCCGGAGGGGAGCCCACAAAGTCCTGCCCCCGGCCTGGCACAAGCCTTGGCAGGCTCCGGAACACAGCACTCAGCCCACCCCAGGCCCTGTTTCCATCTGTTACACCCCATTTTCCACGTCCAAAGTGGCAGCAGGGTCTTTGTATCATTGAGAAACAAATCCCAGGTGAACGAGCAGGAGGAGAATTGTCTGAATAGGGAAAGGTCAGTGCAGCTAATAAGTCCGTGAACAAACAGCTTGAGCTGGGCTTGACATTAATAGCATCGTTGGATATTATTTATTAACTAACTAACATTCAGTGAACTTAATCATCTTGAAATTTTCTTACCATATATTTGGAAAATAGCCACCCTCTATTTGTCATTTGTTCTTCTCCTGTTCATAATCAACATTCATGAAGTTAATGGATGGAAAATACTTCATGTGCCCAGGTACCTATCTAGATTGTGAACAAACTGTGCTGTGATGCGTTGTCATTCAAGCTATTAAATCAACACTTGAGACCACAATTAAACAGAGGGGAGCAGCGAGGAAGGCTGCCTTCAGCACACAGCCCTGCAGTGTCTGCTTGCTCCACGCTCTGTTAGTACAGGCTTTGTGCTCTCCCTTCCCTGGGAACACGCTCCTCACCACACAGATGACTATTACAGTTTATCTCATTGAATGATTTTGTGTTGGTTTCTTCGAAGAAAGATTTCCTGAAGAAAGGCTGCCCTGGGCCTGCCACGCTTGGCCTGCTCAGAGGAGCGGGCATCATGCCTTGTAATGTCTTCACTGAGACCAAAACACTCACAGTGCATGGGAAAAGGAGCTCATCCTCTGAGATGTTGAGTGCCTTTAGTTCCCAAAAGTGCCTGTTGTCTCAAAAGGAGTGGCAGGTCCCTCAGGTTTGCATCCTTCCTGCCTCCATCCCTGAACAGGGAACCCCAGCCTGGTTTTACTGCTCTCTGGGTGATGAATGCAGTTGTTTCTATGACAACCTCACTACAGCATCCTTGTTTCAAAAAGTCGTGGGTACTGGGGGTGTTCTGCTTTGTACCACATGCCAGGCACATGCACCTCGGTCCTACAAGTCCCTCTTCCGCTTTCTTAGAAGGAAAAAATAAGGAGAATGGGAAGATAGAGCGGGTAGGTACCTCTTGAGAATTTAGGAGGCCTGGACAGTAAAGAAATCCTGTCTGAAGCAAGCCCAAGTTGACAAAGGTACTGGGACACCTGGCTCCTAGGTCAATATTTGAATCCCAAGGGTTTTGATTGAAATTAGGAAAATTATACTTTATCATCATCCAAGACATTACTGTTACATCATGAGCAAAATCAGCTACTGCAGTAATGCCTTTACTGGTAGATTTTACCCCAAATGCTTAGGAAGATGACAGCTCCAAACTGGGGTATGGATGGGGGCAATTTGCTGCAGTGTCAACTGCTTTTTGACTGCAGTGTCACCAAGACTGGGCACCCCAAGCGTGCAACAGCAGCAGGAGAGGATGAAATCCTCAGGAAAAATGCCATTGAGGGTAAAGAAATTGTTTCTCTTTAAAAGCAATAGGAAGATTAAGTATTTTATTACTGCTTCTTGGAGGATTTATATAAAAATAATGACAGAGGAGAAAAAGTGAATGACCTTTTCACATAGTCATGCAGTTAATCAGGAAAACTGAAATGTTTGTCATGGAGTAATTCAGGAGATTTGTAAAAAAAATCTAGAAAGGAAATAACTCTGAAGATGGGTAGAAATTCCAGACTTATTTCTTAGAAACCTACATTGTTTTATCCTTTAAAAATTCAAAATTCTGCCAGTGACCTTCCACGCTATGGGACAGAGATCTCTTTCAAATCAGGGGGTTTATTTTGTTTAAACCAAAGCAGCACCAAGACAACTGAGATATGTCCAGAAAGAGACAGGATGTGGGCTCTCTTCAGCCAGTTCCTGGCATTTTGTGACACCAGCTTTATCCCAAGGATAAAATCAAGCTGCAAAACTGAGGGAGGAATCAGAAAGCTTTGTAGCTCCCCTCCACGTGAATCAGGCACAGGCTATAGCCGCGAAAATGCTCTCAGGCTTCTGTTTTTGTATTTCAAGAGCTGTAAACAAAATGCATTGTGCCAGCAAAACAACCCCGATCTGCAAATCATGCATTGCTCTTGGCTTCATTGCCAAAGGATGGGTTGAGGGAGCAGAGAGCAGCAAAGAGGTGGAAAATTGTTACCCTTTGGATTCCTGGGTGGAAGCCAGGCCCCCCCAGAGGACTGAAAGTTGTCAGTGCCTCTGGCAGAAAGTCCACATTTGCCGGTCTGGGCTTTTTTAGGGGAGATCAGACAGGCAGGGTGGCAGAGCCACGGAGCAGCCCCAAGCGTTGAGAGCAGCTTGTAAAGGGGTTGATGAACGTCCCATTGTTTGTTCTGAGTGTTCAGGATGGTTGAAGATGTCTCCACAAAACCGGGGGTGCCTCCAGGAGGAGCGTGGCTGCTCCTCTCTGTCTGCCTGCCAGGATGAGGCTTCCCGGCAGCCCAGGGAAAACAACGCAGTCCCTTGGCAGTCATGGGGCTGTAATCAGCTCTTACTTAGCTGTAGCTGTGCGGATGTGGGCTGGAGCTTTCCTTGTTGTGTAGACATTTCCCCAAACCCTCCTGGACTTGCAGAGAGCATGGTGCAACCACACGGGGCACTTGAGTCAGCAGGACTCTGGTGGAGCTCAGTGCTGGCTGCCGGTTGTGGCAGCAATGTCTGGACCATGAATTGCTGCCCAAGTGATTCATGTCATGTCCATTTCAGAGAGAAAATGGAAAAGAGGGGTAACAGGGCTGGTTCTTCTTCAAAATACCGTGCAGATTGTTTAAACCATGTTCAGAGATTGAGCAAAAAACAACGGGGTTTGTCCCAGACATGGAATGGCAGAAGGTGACAAAATCGTGGAGACTGAATGTAAGAGCTTCTCTTTATTTTTAAATGTCTGTAGTTTTTCCTCCCATAACCAGCTCCTTTTGAGAGCCTGTTAACTGGTGAATCATTGCTAGAGGGAATTGACCCAGCCAGCGCTGAGTCAAGGCTGCTCAGCGGCCGGGGGGGAGGCAGGATGGGCAGAGCAGCAGGGCGAGGCTGCACATTGCATCCTAGCTGCCTTCCCTGAAGGAGAAGGCTGGGCAGAGGCTTCAGTAAGTGACGCAGGACTCTGGAGGGTTTGTGTTTTGGGGCAGTTTCGTTTGCTAGGCAAGGAAATGATCTGCAGCAGCATGAGCCCACCAGCACACCAAGCTGCCCGCTGCAGCCTCCAGCACACCCAGGTGGCAGCGTCCACGGGGCTGAGAACTGCAGAGCAGGATCACACAGCGGATAAATTGAAATCCACCCAAGTCCTTGGCTGTATTTCCATTTCATACACTTAGCCCGTAATGATGGAGTGCCTTGTTCAGATACGGGCTCATGATTAAGCATTGCCTTTGGGCCTTGCAAATAGAAGATCATTTTTATGATTGCTGCAGTGTATGAGCTCTTCATAGGAGAGGCTTTTAAAATCCGAATGGGTTCAAGCGTGCAAGAGATTAATGTGGGGCTGCATGCATCTATCTCAGTCTGCAAAGTCCAATTTATTTTTGCGAAGGCCATTTGGGTTGTAAAACGGCGCTGTGCTTTCTGCGAAAGTCTGGGAGACTTTTTCTGCATGGTGGTCACTTGTCTGGAAACCTGGCAGTGGGTGACCATTAAAAGCTGATCCAAGTCTTTTGCCAAAAACCAGAGAGCCGGCAGGTCTGCTGCAGCGCTCACACAGCAAGCAGCTTTTTTACACTTCCAGCAGAGGATGCTTTGCTCGCTGCCTCTGGCACAGGGAGCAGTGCTGGCCCGGTGGAGGTGCAGGGCTGTGGGCTTCACATCAAGTGCTGGACCGAGGCACCAGTTGCTGAGAATATTCTCAGCGCAACTTAATGAGTGCTTCATAGAAAAACCTATAAAGCCTTGTGTAAGCCTCTACTGGCTTCCATAAACCAGGAAGGAAGAGCTTTGCCTTCGTAGCCCAGCTTACGCTGAGTGATGGTAAAGCTGAGCGAGCGAGCTCATATGTTTAATTAATTTCAGATTATTGCTTCCTGCCTCGTGAGTCTAGAATGGAAACTTCTCCAGGATCTGTGCTCCCTCCTCTAAAACCTGTGCTGGGAAGGATTAAACCTCTCCATCCTCCCACACTCCTTGCTCTGCACCCCTCTGAGGTGGCTGTGCCAACATGATCTGGTCACTGGAGCTGTTACACGCTCAGTTTGCTTTACAGGCAAGAATGGCTTTTACAAGGTCTCTGTGTCTCCAGAGCTGATGATGCAAGCCCGTACGCAGCTGTCTCCTTCAATAAAATAAAGACTTAAAGTAGGCAAATCTGACGCTTTCCCCAGCCGATGACTGTGGCAGAGCTGGCAGGCACCCAGCCAACGCAGCGCAAATCCACGCCACTGATGCTGCACCCTGACCTCCCCGAACCTTGTCCTGGCCAGCCCCAGCACCCAGCACCCCCAGCCCTGGCACCCAGTGCCCCCAGTCCCAGCAGCATCCCCAAGTCAGCACCGACACCATGAGAGCTGGTCTGCCTTGTGTGAGCTCAGTCCTGAAGCATGAGGAGCCAGACTCCTTTTGGTTTGCAATCCTGCTAATGTGAGTAAATCTGTGGCATTATGGGGCCTTATTGCCCGTGTACTTCAAATATGGGCTCATTTTTCCCCACGTCCCACCAAAATCCCTGGGAAGTGAGTACCTGAATGCTGGATCCAGCGCCAGTTGGCACAGGGAGGTGCAACCCCAGTGTAGCAATACAGGATTATTTCAGTGTCTTTCTTCTAGTGCTGTTCCTGCAATGTGACAATGGTGGCAATAACCCACATGCACCAAGAAAGTAGAAACACTTGGGAGTAACTTCATTTGGCAATGAAATTACATTTCCCAAGATTTTTTTTTTATTATTATTATTTTTAAAGAAGTGGCCAGACAGAACGGCCTGATGAGCACAGCCTGGGATGCACAGGCACATCTGTGAGGCAGAAAATGAGAGGATTTTTGTTCTAAATTCACCTTGGTGTGCCACAAATGTCACCTCCTCCCGATACCCTAGCCCTGCCCCATGGCAGTACGTGGGTGCTGAAGGAGGGGAAAGCATTGCAGTGCGTGTGAGGGAGCATCCTGCAGGAACACGAGCATCAAGCCTTTGTGATTACACACGCAGCCTCCTAATTCCCAGTTTGTGTCACAGCACAAGATGTGTGTATGCACTCGGAGGTAAATACATTCCATAGCTTTTCCCCTAAACCAGCATTTAAATTAAAAAAAAATAGGCCTCCCACCACTAAACAGCCTATGTTTAAATGCTTTGCATCTGCTCCAAAATTCCAGCTGACAGTTTAATCAAAGCTCTTACAAATATATTTCCCGCTGCTGGTTGCCAGCTCTGATTACTGTCATGTTCTTGTAGCTTGTCACACGCTGCAACGAGCTGAAAGTTTGGTGGGAAACATCTGCTTTGGTCCCTGTTCGCTGCCCTGTGATGCTCAGCCTGATGCAGACCCCCTGTGACAGTAAGGGAAGCCGGGCTAATGACGGGAGGGCTCTGGAGCTCGGTATGGAATGAGGCGAAAGAGCAAACAAACAGACCACTCATGCTAATGGCCTCATTAGGTGTCTCTTTGGAATAGAAAGATGCTAGGTGTAAGAATGTGTAAGAATGCTTTTTTTTTCTTTTCTTTCTTTCCTTTTTTTCTTTTTTTCTGAAATGTGTGAAAAATCGAGCCAAAAAATGCCAAAAGGACCATCTCTTGAATATTGTTCTCATTGCCATAGAACTGCAAACGCGTCCTGAAGGTCAGGTACAATAAAAGGATGTTTTACAGCAAAGAAACTGGCTGGCAACCAGGGACTGAGTACAGGCTGCAATTATTTTAGGTGACCTTGTCTGACCAGCTGCTGTGAGACTGATTGGGCATCTTCCAGCCACGGAGGAAGAAATAAACTGAGGGGAAACCAAAAAAATTAAGGAGAAACATGAAAACACCTGAAAACCTGTGAGGAACATGCTACCTCCTGCTTGCAGCCCTTTCTGCTCGTCGTGCACCCCTCTGACCTTCTGCAGGTGCTGGCTGGGGCTGGAGGCACTGCTCGTCCCGAGCCCCTACAACGCCCGGTGCTGCCCTTGCATCAGCTTCAGCCTTGGGGTGCAGAAATCCCACCTGGAGGGACTCGGCTCCATCATTAACGCTTTGCCCTTTAAAATGGTACTCTACAATATATATATTTAAAAATTTATTTTTAAATTTTATATTTTTATTTTATTTAAATATATATATATATTTAATGATCAGCTCTTGCCACTGTGCTAGACCCTGCTGCCCTGGGGGGGCTGCAGAAGATGGGGAGTCTCATGAGGGATCACCCTGGTGTCCCCCATCTTCTGCAAAAACCCAGGGAAGTGTAATTTACAGTGTAAAAAAGCCATAATCAATAAGCGTGAGACCTTAGCCACGGCAGTGAAGGAAGATCTATTGAGCTGTTGGAGGCTAAAACCTTTTTCTTCTGCCACACATTGTATTTAGGAGATCAAAATGCTCAGTGCGTTGAAAGCAGATTAAGGAAATTAATGAAAAGGGAAAAGCAGCCCAAACCAATCTTTCCCTTTTCAGAGAAAGCAGATAGTCACGGTGCTGCTTTCATTAACATTAATGTCAGTTAATGCTTTTAATTGTTCTCTTCTGACATTTCAATTATATGTTTTACGTAAATAAATGTCAGCTTTGGGATTGTCCAGGATAGGATTTTTGCAGAGGCTGTCTGCAAATCCCCATTAGTTGCCGTGCTGATGTAGCAGCTCCCTTTCCATCTCTGTGCCCTGAGAGTTGGGTTTTACCAGAGGGAGGGAGGCCGTCTTTTCCTTCAAGGTTCAAAACACTCCATTTGAAAGGAAAAAGAAGCCTTTTTTTAAAAATCAAAACCACACTTTTCATAGATTGACATGGTAAGTGCGTGAAAGCTAAGAATCATCGTGCTGATGCAAGTGCGTTTTAAATAAACAATATTTTTCCTTGGAAAATGGCTTCATGGGAAACAAAGAAAGCCAGAGCTGGACTGTTACCCCAAGTCTGAACCAAATAATTCTTGCGGCTCTGGGAAATTTAAACTCTAACATGGGAGCAGTGCTTCCCGAGGTGTTTGACCCTTGCTCCCTGCCCTGCTGCCTAACAGCTGGCTGAAATGAGGAATTCAGAAATTACTTTTTATGGTGAATGAATGCTCAGCTCCATTTATGCCTAAAATAATCGCTGTCCCAACTCCGGGAGACGCAGCAGCAGAGATGTGACTTCTCCCCTGTCACTTGGCCTGCTCTTTGGACACCTTTCAGGGCTGGTACCACCCGAGGGCAGTCTCCAGAGGAAGATTTCTGGGCATTTCGCTGAGATTTGAGGCCACCTGGGTGTCTGCTGAGGCACCGCCAGCCCCAGCTGGTGCTCCTGTGCAGGCAAGAATTTAACAGAAGCTCACCAAAAGCTCAGAAGCTCCCCATTACTTCACTCCTGGGATGAGATTGGCCACAACTGGGAGCGAGACAACTGCTGCACAAGGCTGTTTGCTCACTGTTTCAACCATTCTGCATCGGTATCTCCCCGCTTGTCCTGAGGGGCCGGGTTGGATGAGGGACGCATCCTGCTCTCAGCCCTGCTCGGAGCCCGGCTGGCACACAGGAGGAGCTTTGCTGTGGTCACCCTCACACAAAGCTCTGCTGAAGTAAAATATCCACCTGCAAACATAAACCTGTGCACAGTCGAGCCCCAGGGGTGTCCCGGCCCTCTGGTACTCCCCGAGGGATGCTGAAGAGCTGCAATGTGAGTGCAGTTCACCCTGCCCAGGACAAAGCTGCTCCTGGACCAGCCCTCCTTAAACATACCCTGTTTAGCAATAGCTGTTCGGGAGCAGAGAAACCAGCATCCACCGACATGTCCTGTGGCAATGGCTCCAGATTTCTAATTTAATCCCTGAATTGCCACACTGAAATCCACTCAACTCATCCACAGTGCTTGGGTTAAGAAAAAAAAAAAAAACACTAAACTTGATGAAGGGGAAAGAAAAGCCCACAAGCTGTTTTAATGCAGGGAAAGGAATATGATCTGTCAGAAAGATTATTTTTACAAATTGTTTGTCTGGTTATGACGCTGAACAAGAGTTACATTTTTCTCCCTGACAGCTCATCACGCAGCGAGCGCTGAGCCGAAGAGCTCTTCACAGGCACGGAGCAGCTGCGATGCCGTTATCCTGCTTTACCCACTCGTGTTGCACACAGTCCTGCTGGATGAAGAGGTGTTAAGTTGAAGGAAAAACAAACCCAAGAACCACTTGCAAGTCCAGCTATGTTTTTTCCTCCTGTGCATTTTTTATACATAAAGAAAAGAGCAACCTTACAGCTTGAAAAGACCCCAGGATATTTTTTAATTATTTTCATTATTTTTTTTCAATGAGCACTCTCCAATATTTTTCTGGGTTGAAACAGGGAAAACATCATACAAAATTTTGTCCCCACCTGTTCTGGGATATGCAAAGCTCCAGCCCTGTCCCGTGTCTCCTGCTGCCAGCAGAGGGATGGTGGGACCGCGGAGTGGGAAATTGGGTCCTTTAATTAATGATGAGGAGAGAGAGGAGGAAAAATGGGAAGGGGAAAAAGCCATCCAAGCACATTTATCATCCCTTGCTGTTATGAGACTTTTTTTATGGTGTATTTGCCTAAATGAAATGAAAGTCTGGGGAGGAAATATATTGCTTTACAAGTCAAGCGAGACATACTGTGGGGCCTGCGCTGAAACGCTCAGCTTTGTTTACTGATCCTGATCCTTTCTGACCCCCCTACTTAAAAAATAATGCCTGGTAATTTTCAAGATGGAAATATTTCCTCTGGAAAAAGTCAGACCAAGACCTCCAGACTTCCCTCAGTGTTTCCTCTGCACTCGCTCACAGCCCTCTGCCTGCCTGGGGAGCTGCAGCCCTCTTCAATTTAGCAGAAATTACCCAACCTCCCTATCTCGGCTCCCCAGATCATCCTTTGGTTCAAGAAACAGGTGGATTTTCTTATCACTGGTTAAAAAGGCCCCTGGGTGCATTAGCAGAGGAATAGCACTGGGAACGTCTCTGTTTTTTTTTTTCCCCCTGGCTTTTTTACAGGTCTGGCAGTGGCCCTGGAGTGGATCAAATGAAGTCTCCCCCTGGATGTTGATGGGGACTGACGTGATCGCAACTTCCAGAGCTGTATTGGGCCCTCAGGACTCAGGCTCTCAGGGGCATTTAGCAGCAGTGAGTGAAATGATGATGGGTGCTGGCTCCCCACTAGCCCCCAGCTCCCAGGTTCATGCCCCAGGGCCAGCAGCAGCCCTGAAGCCCTGCAGCCCCTGCTCCCATGGGAGTTGACTTCGACCCCAAGCTCAGAAGTAAGGATTTATCTAAATGTGTTTTTTCTTTTTTTTTTTTTTTAAAAAAAAAAAAGAATAAAGAAATAGAAAAAGGCATAGGCTTGCAAACATCTCTGAATGGCATAATGGCATGTAATTTGCCAGAGTTTTCAAAGCAGTGTTACAATGCCTATCTTAATTGTGAAAAATTACTTCAAAATGAGTGGGTGTGAAAGGAATTGATTGAAACAGCACAGCATTGCCACTTTCCAAATCTCTTTTAATCAGGGACTTTTTCTCTAAAGTTTTGGGTCTTCTGAGGTTTTCCCTCCACAGACCGTCCCCTGGAGTTTCTTTCCTCTTCTGTTCCCATTCACAGGTGAGCAGCCACTCACAGGGCAGGGGTTCCTCTGCACACTTCTGGGCTCAGCCCTCCTACCTGGGGCAAAAATCCTCAGAACTACACAGTTCCCCAGGTGATGAAGCCACCTGCCACCCGATTTGCCATCCCACAGTGTTTTTACTGATTTTAGTTGAAGATCATTCCAATCTGTCCCTAAAACCTGAGCCTCTCCTACCGTTCTGCAGCATTTTGAGATGAAACGAAGCGCATCAAAGCACTGACGCCTGCTACCAGCAAACCTCGTGGAGCATCTCCTGAGGGCTGTGGGCCAGCAGAGCGTGGCCAGGTTGATCAGGACATCTGATCTGCTCTGGGCAGGTGGCCGAGCAAAGACTGCATCCTGCCCAGCCAAATCTGGCCACGGGAGCTTCCAGGAGACAGGGCAGAGGGGCAGCATCCTTCAAACCGAAAGAGCCAGATCCAGTAGGCACCATCTGTAATAAGGTTTTGTACTAAAAAATTTTTTTTGCACTAAATGCAGCTATCAGGCCACAGCACTTTGCTTTCTGGAGTAAAGTGGAGAATTGATTTTTCTTAACTGCCCAGGTGCCAATTTTCACTGAACTTAAGACTTTCCAACTGTGTTTTATGGAATGATTAGGAAGCCAAACCACACACAGGCTTGCAGGCTGTGCTCTCAGAGCCAGTACCAGCATGATGCCTTTGGGACTTGCAGCCCCTGCAAGTGATGGGCACTGCAGCGACTTCCCCGTCCCAAGGTTCCTCCCAGCCCTGTTTGCAATCTGCCAGCCATATATACATAAATATTCTGACTTCTGGAGCCTTGCAATATGCTGGCATTTCTGCAAGCCCGTCAGTGGCAAGAGGTTAACTCCCCGGCTGGAAAGATGCTCATAACAAGGCAGTGATGATCCAAAGGAGCCTGAGGAGCATCACAGTGTCGGTGTGTGGCCCAAAGGGAGGTGTTTGCCTCTTTTCAGCTTTTCTCACCAAACTGTTTCTGTTCCCTCCCTGTCGGAGGTGACAGTTGCTTTCCCAGCCATCCACCCGGGGAGCTGCGGTGTCAAACCCTCTGATTGAATTAGCGTGGGTAATTTATATGGAGGTAAAATGGAATGAAAAGTAAAGTAACCAGAAATGAGATTATTTTTCAAGGTACATTTAACTTACTGTGACACTTGAGAGCATGAACCTTTAACAGAAACAAGCAAGGCCCATTTGTCTGAGAGTTTAAATATTTAATTCCCAGGAAGACAGGCGCAATTTTTCAGATTGTAATAATTATTTTAGACTTGATCAGCAAGAGAGAGAGGCTTTGAGCTGGCATAATAAAAAAGTCTAACAGGACAAGTAATGACAAATTGGCCGTGTGCTGGAAAGCCCTGCACAACCACAGGGCAAGCAGCTCCAGGGGGTGGCCGGGATGGGGCTCTGGGGACCGGGGCTCTCCTGCTCCTTCTGCTGATCACCAGTTTCACAGCCACAGGCAAATCAGGCCATCTGGTTGCTTCCCTTTCCTGCTTTCCTTTCATTCAGGGCATGAATTCTTTGCAGCAAAGTCTGCAAAGCCTGCAGGAGCCCTTTCCCATGCATCAGAGCCGTCTTTGAGCCCTTCATTCAGCCTCAGTGTAGCAAAGCCAGGCACCCAGGGGCAAAGCATTTAATCAAATTGATTTTAATTGCCCTGTACTGGCCAGCTTAAGTCTGAAGTGGGTGCATGCAGACTTCCCCTTCTAATCCCTAACCCTTTGATGATGCTGCCACAGTGCAACCCAAGGGTGTTCAGCACAGCTCTGTCTTCCTCTTTGTCACCCCCCACGCTTCTTCAAGGGAGATTTATATAGATAATATTACTTTGAGTAATTAGGAATAGGAATTAAGTTTGAATAAATGAACTGTCTGCAGTTATTCTCCCTGCTCTCACACCGAGCCTGAATGCTAATCTGAACATGATTCTTCTTCCTCATAATGAAAATTAAAAATGTTTTCTTATTGCAGTGCCTTAATCCAGATTTCTGGGCCTGCACATCGCTGAGCAGAGCTTGTTGCACAGGGTCCGCTGACATGCAGCTTTGTGTCTGAGCATCACAGGGAACAGATCCGAAGTACACAGCAGACACCCAACTGGAGAAAAAGAGAAGGGAAGGAGACAGCAGAACAGAGGAATTTTAGAGCTTCTGAGGAAAGAGAAAGTGCATTAATAAATTAAGGTTAAACACCATGAATGAATGAGTGTGTTTTCTTTGGATAAAAACAGTCATTTTATCTCTACATCTATCACATAGAATCAATTGTTCCTTCCACACTAAATGTGATCCTACTCAACTTCACTTTGTCCTTTGATCAGTTAAACCCAAGAGCTAAATTAAACCACTGAATTGCACAAGGGAAATTTTAGGACTCATTTAAAAAATACTCGGTGTGAGTTTAACTGTGGCCACTACTCCTCCTGGCTTCCCTGGTGTGCTCCTGTGTGAGCACAACTTCAAAATGAGTTGCTCCCTCATATCAGCACCCAACTACGGGGAACACAGAGCTTAAACCCAACAGATCTGCCTGTGGGGTTTTGCACTACAATGTGGAAAACCCAAAGGGGCTGGGGTGGGAGAATCAGCACCACAGGTTGCTGCTGCCCCAGGAAAATATTTTTACCAACCCCCTGGGTTTGCAAGAAGATCTGAACCAAATGGTATTGTCAGGGACCTAAGCCGGACAGCCCTTTGAGGCAGTAATAATTATTATGACCTGCTTAAATAGGGCCATCTCTTACGCATATAGAACAGGACACCTGCAGCAGTTGGAAAGTAATTGTAGCTTTTTTCCTTGACAGGCAGCTAGAATTAATTCCGCTGCAACAGCAACGACAGCAATCTGAATATGTATACAAAATAATCCATTCCATCAGACAAATGATTAGAGCAAAGGCCACCATGTTTTTCACTTTCTAAAATGTTAATAAAACTCACTTAGCAGGAAGATCATCTTTATGTTTTATTAATTGCCACCTCTTAATTATTTTACTTCTAATTTCTTTCTCGAACAGTCCAGAGAAGTGTTATTTAACACGCTGAGTTTATTTGTGGTTTCTTTGTGAACATTTCCAGGCAGCTGCTGAAAAACAAGTACACTGAATAGAGTGAGCAAAAGGGTCAGTCAAATATAAAGAACAATAGAACAGAGAAGTGAAGAGAATCAAAAATCCAGGGAAATTTTAGTCCGTATGCAATAATGAGGGTTTCTGTTTTAACATGATAAAACAACTCTTTTTGGGGTTAACATTGGGAATTCAGGACAAAAATCATACATCCAGCAGTAGCTAGCAAGAGCTCTGTGTTGGGAAAGGACAGTTGAAACCAAAACACGGAGGTTTCTGTTGGGAAACATCAGCAGCCCTTGTCAGCAAGGGGATCCCAGCAGATCTGTCTCAGGGCTGAGCTGTTGGTGCTTTGGGTTCAGCCCCCTCAGATTCAGGGCACAGACAGGGGTCACAATACAGAAATAGGGGTGGAAAACCCCAGGAGCTTTCTTTCTGGTGCACAAATCTGGCATCTTCCAGCCCCGTACCCCCCAGATCAGACAGCTCAGGTATGGGCTGTGCAGGATACATTGGAAACTGGAAGGGAGACAAAAAATTCATTTCTTGGGCTTTTCTAGGAGTGGAGACAAGCGGTGTCGTTACGACACCCACATGCTTATTGGTACTGCACATCTCAAGCCCCATCACTCCACCACGCACCAGCTATCCGTTACAAGATCGCTCAGTTATTCACATCCTATTTGATTTACGACCCACTGAAGTCAAGGGAAAGACCTGCCTTCGATTTTAGTGATTTTAGGATAAGCTCCTAATTTCACGCTTTGTCCGAGAAGCAGATAAAATAGATTTGAGAAAGGGTTTTTCCTTTGAAAATTAATCTTCTTTAAACTACTTCAAGACGCAGAATTATTTCTAAAATGTCCCATAATAGAAATAACTGGTATACTTGAAATAAATAGATTTTACAGTAATCAAATTCTTTAGCCTGGCTTTTTATCCTGTTTATTGCCCTGTGAACTCCTCCATCATAAACAGCAGCTCTTACAAATACAGAAATAAGTCACTGTCAGCGAGCTCAGAGGAGCTGAAAGATTTGCTGTAATCACACAACCAGTGCTTAGCGTCCCCTGAATATCACTGTATCTTCCATGTATTTATCTGATTCAATTACAAGGTGCACCGAGGAATTGAGAATATCTTCCAAACACATTTGTGTGAGAGTGCCAAAATGCTCAGTAGTCCCCAGTTCTCCTGAAAGGCCGGGGTACAGAGACACCATGGAGGTGGGGTGAGTTCCACATCTGCCAGGTATCCTGTGGTGTTTGAATGGGTTTATTTAAAAAAAAAAAAAAAAAAAAAAAAAAAAAAAAAAAGGTAATAATAATTAATAGTTGTCATCACATGCAATTTGCCAAGAGAAAATGCGTGGTGGGAAGAAGCAGTGTCCAGACATCCCATCTTGAAAAACTCCCAAGAGAGAAAATGTGACTGACCTGCCAAACAGCCAGCCTAGTACCTGGGGAAAGAGGCTCCTTGGGTTGTATGTTTTTCTTGCTGAATTCAATTTCCATTGCGAAAGAGAAGTAATTTTCTGGGGAAATAAAAATAAAAGTTGATATCAACACAGCTTGTAAGCCAAACCAAAATTAGAAAGTTTGGTGATTCAATTTCATAAAAACTTAAGATAATTCATGTTTATCTTCTCTCAGGTGTCAGGTAGGAAATCACCTGGAAATACTAAAAGATCCTTGGGGAAATAGGAAATCTACTTTCCTTTCTCTGGTAGCTACAAGCTTTGCACCCTGGTTGAGTTTTACATAGTGAAGATAACAGTGCAGGATGAAGTAGGCTCGCAGAATGGCTATAGCCTTGACTAGCCGCAGCGTGATCTCTTTCCCCATTTTTTGACTCATCCTGATGCAGGATTATGGCTCTGAGCTGTGCTTTGCTGCTGCCTTGCCAGTGCCCCACTGCTCTGCCTTTGCACAGGAAGCCACTGCCCTCCTCAGTGCAAAGTCCATCTGGTTTTCACGTCTTCCACCTGAAAATGTCAATGACACTTTATTTTTCTCCACCCACTTTTTTTTTTGTTGTTTTAATTTACTTTTTATTTAATGTATCTATTTTATTACACCCATTCAGGAAACAGAAGTAATATCGCATGATAGGTGTGCTAATGAAAAACTGGAATTCATTAAGTGGACGGCAATACATTCAGCAAACATGTTTGTGAACAACCCAGAGATTGAAGTGTGTTTGCCAAAAAGATCTATCGAACACTTACGGACAAACAAATGAGTAAAAATCTAAAACCAGATCTCGCATGTTAATGATAGAAGGAAACGCTGTAATCCCATCAATAAGCCATTAGCCACAGTGACGTGAAGTTGTGCCCAGTGTCTCAGCTTGTTTTTTTTTTTTTTTTCCTCTGCTGCTCAAGTTGTTGCCCCGGGCCAGCCTGTATGCTGGATGGTTTGGGGTCCCCAGGGGATCTCAAAGCCTTGGTGGCCACCAAACTCCTTGTGCTGCCAGGCACTGGGATGCCTTCCCCTGGCATTGCCCTGTGGAGAAGATGAGGAAATCACCCCACACTGAAACGTCCACATCGCACCCTCCAAGGGGGGAATCAATGAATTTATTTATTTGTGATTGTTTTTAGATGAAATGGTCTTGTTCTATGCACCTATATTTTATGAAGCATGAAGTTCACATAAAGCTTTGCATTTGAGCCCCAGGATTTCTTTCTGTGTAGTACCTTTCTGCTTCAGAATGAAAAGGAAATGGGGGAAACCTTTCTGTGTGGGCGAATCCAACTCCTGGCCAAGTCCAAAGTGTGCAGACAGATACAATGTGATTTGGAGAGGCTTTGACACTCTCATAACGAGAGCTGTATTAATCCCTAAAAATGATTGATTTCAGGAAAAGATTCAAGATATTCACTGGTGTGAATCCATCATCTGTAATGGAGATTTTCTTCAGTTAATAATGTGACCCAAAATGGCACCAGTTTCTCTACTCAGTGTCCTGAGCAACACAGATATAATAAAATCCTGTCCTGGAGTTAGTAAAAGACTAGCTGCACTAATGAGGTAAAGTTCTGTACTCTCTAGGGCAACAGAGAAATTGCATTTAATTACAAGAAAAGAGCATCTCTACTCATTGAATACAGTGCAT